CCCGAATCGCATTTTACAAAATCGATTCCTTTCAGCTCTCCTTTTAAAACACTGGCCGGAATTTGTTGGAGATGCTGCACCAGGTGATATTCGACCGCACGACGTTCAACTCATTCATGTCGGCGGGTACGACTCTCGAGTCAAGGAAAATGTCGAACACTACAGAGAATTGCTCGATCTCGCTGACGACCTTGGAGTTAGTAATTGGTTCTATGCACAACTTTTTTCCTATTATGTCTAATCACTTTTTTCCATCATTTCTTGCCTATCTCGAGAGGTTAGGTTGAAGGACAAATTTTTCTGAACTTATGGGTTAGTAAAACATGGCGACTTCAATTTAATACAAGTCGCTTTGTGGTCTCATGGGCTTTTGCATGTTCTCCATCCCGGTCGCCCCACTCGATTGTTATTTGTTCAAAGAAGCCAAACAGCTCAGTCTAAGCTTAGTTCTACCGGCATGTATACTCAATTCAATCCGACGGACAGATAGCAGTTCACTGACCATACTTTGTTTTGATGGCGTGATCGTTCAGGCCTCATTGGTGTCTATATGTGCGGTAAACATGTTGTCTTTGTTGAATCAATGAGCATGGAATATTCGCTACTTTAGTCATAGTCTATTTTTTCTGTTGTTCATGTCTGTTATGTTTGTACTAGCAGCCCTGCCTGCTTAGAAAGCACCAATGATGCCTGTTAACCTGAATATAGGTTATCATCGTAACTATGCAACTGGCCTTCCAAATACTTGCTTTTGTCAGCTTATGCCAACTTTGACCGTCATGCTAACTACCTGCTCACATTTTAATGTTCGAACTTATTAAGCCGAGGACCGACATGTTATTGGCAAACAGCATTGCCGGCAAGGGCAAGGGCAAGGAAGACTAGAATGGTCATTTCTGGCTCATTAGCTGTCTTCAATCAGCCATATCCAAACCGAAGTGGTACACCACCCGAGGCTCGATCTCGCGACCTATAGATCAGAAGGCTAAGGCCATAACAATTAGGCCACGAGCAGGTTTAGATAGGTAAATATTGGCGCTCGTTGATGCTATCTGCCTAGAGTACTAACTGTTGTGTGACTACTGGCGGGGCTCGATAATGAGCCCCAAGGTAGGGCGGGACAAGTGAGTTCAGTTAACGATCGGTGAACGTTCATAAAAGAGTCCTATCGTTATTCGCTTAGTACTCCGAGGGTTGGACAAGCTAATGATAAGCAAGTGTAGTTATTATGGTTCCTTTCTCCGGCTCACACCCACGGGTGATATCCTTCTTAGCCTAACAAAACTGGCCTGTAAATGATTTCACTGGTGACCGTAACAATAATTTCGCCCCCTGATTTTATTGCACTTATTGTTGAAATATTGCGTATTTTCTTTTTAAAATGAGCTTTATGCCTATTATACATAGAAATAAAAGTTCAACGAAATGTGCATTTATATTTACAGATCTCGGAGCAAGTCACACTGCTTCGTTCCTGCACCTCCGACGTTAAGGCATTGCTGATCGCGGCCAGTCACGCGGTCATATATACGCCACACAATGAGCATTTTGGAATAGTTCCAATAGAATCCATGTTTCTTTGGCGCCCTGTAATAGCACTTAATTCTGGTGGTCCTAAAGAAACGATAATTGCAGGCAAAACAGGTTTCTTATGTGACTGCGAACCGGAGGACAAGACCATACACGACATTTCGCAATACATGGCTCGGTTAGTTATATCAAACAATTCCTTCTACTAATTTTCATTGAGTAGATGGTTATTTTATTTCT